CCCAAGGCTCGCACCACGCTTACCAAGCACTGTGCCATAGTGTCGCTCCTTAGACCACGCCAGCTCCCTTTGCACGAGGCATTCGCCTGGTTGCAGCATGGCCACCTCCTTCGCATGCCCCGTGCTTTGCGGCAGCCGCCTTCAAACAACGTCCCCCCCAGCAGCCAGCCCCAAACGCACTTTGGCTAAGCCAGAACTGAACCAAGAGGAGATTCAAAAGACCTCCAAGTCCTCCCATAGTCTAAGAAAGACCAAACCTCAGAGAAGGTCAGATAAGGCTCGCTCTCGCTGCGGCAAGGTGGGGTCTCCTGCAGAGCATGGTGACATCCCGCTCCTGCAGACACCGGGGCCCGTCGCTGGGCAAAAAAAAGAGAGCATGGTGCCATCCCGCTCCTGCAGACACCGGGCCCCGTCGCTGGGCGATGCCTTGGCTCGCGAATGGCTGGCGGCCCCAAAAGGGTGGCTGTTTCCCCGGCAGCATCACCGCGCCGCTCAGATGGGATGCTCGTTACAGGCGGGAGTTAATCGCGCGGTGGCGATGGCTATTGTTTCTTCACTTCCTCTTGTTATTTCCCCTCTCCGCAGATGGGGAGATCACTTCCAAGCCAATGGTGCTATTCCTGGGACCGTGGAGCGTCGGCAAATCCTCCATGATAAACTACCTCCTCGGGCTGGACGACACTCCCTACCAGCTCTACACAGGTACCACGCTCACTGCTCCCTCCCTGCTCTGCCGAGGGCGTGCTGGCACCTGCACTTCTGCATCCGTGCGGTCGGCGATTCCCACCGCATCCCTTTGATCTCCACTTCGAGGGGGGATCTGGTCTGTGCCACCTGGCTGCAGTGCCGTGTGGAGGGATAGGTTCCCCACCACGGCCCAGGGCCTGTCCACCCTCCCTGGGGAGGAGGAGGGCAGTCCTCCCCACAGCATCTCCGTCCCGTGGCACAGGGCTGACCGCCTCTGACCCCAATGGCAAGAGCAGCGGTCGTGTCATGAGGGCAACCCGCCCTCCTCTTCTCCCCTTCCCGCCCTCACGTGGAGCCAATTAACTTGCCTTCCCAAGAGGAAAGCCGTTCCCTTTCCCTCCTCCCTGCTCACACAGATGTCATCTCGCAGCTGAGGGCAGATGTCCGTGGCCAGCTCTGCGCCGAGGTAAAGAGGGCTCCCGGGAGGTGATCTTACAGGGTGCCTTGTGCAGTCAGGCCACTTCCAGAACAACCAGTCCCCGAAGAGTACAGCCCTGCTGGCATTTTCTCAAGAGGTTTGGCAAGAATTTCATGGCTCCACTGCTTGCCTTCCCCCAGCATCTCCTGGCAAGTGAGCGATGCTCCTGAGGTCCCCGGCTAGTCCCAGGCCAGTCCTGTCATGTCCCTTGCCCACCATGGATTTCACAGCTCTGCTTGCTCCTCTCGTTGCTGGGCAGGGGCAGAACCCACCACCTCCGAATTCACCGTCATCATGCATGGTCCCAAGCTGAAGACCATCGAGGGCATCGTGATGGCTGCTGACAGTGCCCGCTCCTTCTCGCCCCTGGAGAAGTTTGGGCAGAACTTCTTGGAGAAGCTGATAGGGATTGAGGTGCCCCACAAACTGCTGGAGCGAGTCACCTTCGTGGACACACCGGGCATCATTGAAAACCGCAAGCAGCAAGAACGAGGTAGGGGTTTACTGGGTTCATCTGAGGGCCTCCAGAAAAGATGCCGTAATGATGTGAGATGACACGGGTGGTGAAGCAGAACGGGGAAGAGCCCTAGGCTACAAAAGGGGTCTTGCATTGGAGGGGATGGCGATGTGTATCTGCCCATGGCCATGGCAGCGGCAGCTGGGGGCTGGGGAACATACCCAACTGTCATCAGCTAGAGCAGAGCCGTTTCTGCTGTTTGGAGGTGTGACAGTCAGGCGTGCCGGCAAGATGTTTCCTGGGGACTCCTTGGTCTGTTGATTGTCTACCTCAGCTCAGCGTTTAATGCCCTGTTTGTCACCCCTGGAGCCAGGCTTTGCCAATGGCTGGTGCTACAGCAGGGCCCAGAGAAGCACCAGTCCATCCCCACAGCACCTGGCATGCCAGGACAGATCAGCAGGGCTTCTCAATCCACTTGGTGCCCACTGAGGAAAGCAATGATGTGGCCAATCATCTGCTCGCAGGAGCAGCAGGGAACGGTTGCCAGG